TGCAAAGCTGTCCACAGTCCTAGCGAGCGCCCCCACCGCCGGTCCGTCACTTTATCTGAATCTGTTATTTTCTTCACGTCTTCAGCTGAGAAGCTTTAAAACTTTGTGCAGCATTAACCGGCTCATAATCAGACTTTTACATCATAACACACCACTTTTAGGCAACGTTTCTTGTTCCCTCATTTAAACCTGCACCAAAGCATTTAGCAGCAGTGACTATAAAGCCGGCAGTGTGACGCCCAGTCCACATCTCTTGGGACGAGTCCGACACCCTTGAGTTCACTCTTGCAAAAAAACACTGTCTGAAAAATGGAGCTAAATGTGTGTTTATAGTGAGCTTTATAAATCCTGTGACATGGTTGAGAAAGCAGTTTTGAAGCTCTGTCGATGTCCACAGTAACAAAAGTGTTTGAACTGCTGAAAAAAATCCATCTCCAGTGGATCCCGGGGGGGTGGAGCCTAACACCGCTGTCATATTTCTTAATTGTGATCCCTTCCCTCTCTCAGAGGTCCAACTACCTCCACAGAGAGGTGGTGTCTCTGGCCAGCCGGTATCCAAACGTGCGGGTGACTCCCTGGAGGATGGCCACCATCTGGGGCGGGGCCAGCCTGTTGACCATGTACCTACGCAGCATGGAGGACCTCCTCAGCATGGCCGACTGGTCCTGGGACTTCTTCATCAATCTCAGCGCTGCAGACTACCCCATCAGGTAAGAGCCTGAGCTGAAGTTTACAGCTGATATTAAAACGTGTTTCTTGATGTGATTACAGTGTGAAGATGAGCTCCAGCTGGAAGTGCCTGTAGTTCATGTAGTTTGTCAGGTTTGCCAGTGTGATCTGACTGATTCTGGTGATGTAAGAAAAGGTCAGTTTGCAGAAATACAAACAGCCTTTGGTGGATAAAACACGACAGATCTGTTTAAAATAGACTGAAGTGGGTGAAAATGAGGTTTTAATAGCTTTAACAAAACTACCTGCTCACCATTTAATCCCATGAGCAACAGTACCACCAATGCTGGAAGATGTTGGTCTAAAAGGTCATTAGGTGATGACCTTTTATAAAAGTTGTAAGTCAGGCTACTTCCTGGTTTGGAGTTGGTTTGCTCCTGAATGCAAAAGCCTGACACTGTAGTCATCATTTGAAATCCTCTGTTTAAGGAACACAATGTACAGAGTTGTAATTACAGTCAGATCTTCCTCGTACTTCCTCGGCTGCAGGTGTAGCTTCCAGACTGTACCGCAGGTAGAGAAGATAACCTGCGTACGTTGAGCTTGCTTCGTAGTACAGATGGCTGTGGAAGCTGTGCCACTCATGTCAGCTAACAGCCACTAATCTGCCCAGTCCTGTGGGCCTTGTTTGTTTGAGTTGATGCTCTTGTGGTTTATTGGTAACTTGATCCATACGACTGTAAACCAGAGCGAGCTGTGAGCCTGCAGCTGTGAAGCAGAGCATTTCCTCTTGGCTGTCCCATGTCTCGGTTTGAAGGGATCGGCAGTGATCAGCAGAAGTCCTGAATTATGTGAAGCAGTAACGAGGTTACATAAAGAGGCCGGTGGAGGATACGTTTTGGCTCATCGGTGTGTTTGAACTGGTGCAGGGATGTTGAGATTTGTGAAGCAGGATGAGATCCAGCTGCCTCTCGCCTTCCTGAGTAAACGCCTCAGGCAGGTCTTCTAGCAATTTAGGAGCAGGTGTGAGCTGGCTTTGGGGATGTCAGAGGGTCACAGATGGGTGACGTGTGAAAGGAATCAGCTCTACTGCACTTTAATGCACCTCAGCCAGGATATTGGTTTAAGTTTATCAGATTTCATTGTGAACTAATCAGTTTCAACAGAGTCCAAAATTAGGTGCAAATCTCAAGAGAAAAGTATGATTGCATTCAGACGAATCAATAGCCAGTGTCTTTGTGCTCTTTCTGAGTAAGTATTTATCTGATCCACATTCTTATTTCTTGTAAATATTTATTTGAATGACTTAAAGTTTTAAACCAGAGTTTAACCCTGGAAGCAGACGAATCTCAGAGCTCACATTTCCACTCAAGCCTGTTCTTAATGTTTTGGCATTCAGAGCTACATCACACAGTTGTTCTAATTGGTTTTAGCTCCATCCATCGCATCCACAGGCATTTTGGTATGTGCCTGTGGATGAGGCATAGCTTTCTTCTTATTGGCTGTCCCTCATAAACAGAGGGACAGCCGGGGAGCAGTGTGTAGGGACGGTACCTTGCTCAGGGGTACCTCAGGGTAGCCGTTCAGTGGAGTCGCACCTCCGACCTTCTGATAATGGGGCAACCACTCTACCTACTGAGCTATCCCTGCCCCTGACAGAAACTCATTTAGTGATGTAGACACAGAAACGCAGGTCGTTTCCACGTCTACTTTGGATGTGGTGTGGCTGGTCTGAGTCTTTCAGGATCTGCCGCTCTGGTGGAATTTTCCCACAGGACCATATCTATGGTGTACAGATAATAGTCTGAAAAAGAGAGAAACCAAATTTTCTTTAACGTTTATTTAAAGATAATCTGTCCTTTGGTCGTTAACAGAAAGAGACAAAATAAGAATCACAGTCTTCACATTCAAGTGAGATTTTATTCATTTTCCCGCTTTTTTAATCTGTAAAAACAGGTAAAAGTATCTCTTCAAAAATCTCACATTCACAGTTTGAGGGAACCTCTTTGCAGAGCTGCCAGGTTTCCTGCATGTTTGGCTCTGAGCAGTGAGCGGCCACGGTCCACAGCATGAGCACAACAGTGCAGGCAAATAGCGCGATGCCGTGCACGCTCGCAGCACACCAACATGTCATTAGCATGTGGCTGCGGCCCTTGCTAATGACATTCTTCTCTGTGAGGGAAGAAGACACAACGTTTGTAATGCATCGATCAGTTTCTTTGATAAAATCAATGAAAGTATCCGTCCTGCTTTCCTCTCAGGATGTAAGTCCTTTGTTGTTTTACCTCCAGCGGTTAGTTTGCTGTTTTAATAGAAATATAAACTATACATGAACTAATTAAGTCACACACAGCAGAAATCCAAACATAAACAAACCGTGCGTGGAAAAGCAAAGAGGAAGCTGTCACCCTGAAAGGCCCGAGGCTACTCTGATATTAGCTTTTAAATGGAAAGTTAAAGGTGGCTGAAGGTTGTTTAAACTTTACTGGTGGACGGCTGAGCAGCTGAGGTCATTGTTTACTTTGTACACAGTGAAACAGCAAAGTGGTGTTTTCAGATTTCCACACCCTGGAGTCTGGACGAGAGCTAAAAGCCTCACAGACGCAATCAAATTTATTTACTTCCCCAAATCAGAACTGGAGTCCTAATGCTGACTGTTTAAAGCCAGTGTTCATCTAAACGACGCTCCAGACTGATGACACGTGTTCATCTTTCAGTCTTTTTTCTTTGCCATCGTTCTGTCCTCGTGAGCTCACTAGCACCGGCCTGCTGTCCTCCATAACAGCGATGGTTTGAACATGCTTCTGGCTAAAATCCATAACACAGCTGCAGCATTAGCACCACAGCATCCATCGATAGCTGTGACGTCATGAGCGATGGCGGCTCTCTGTGGAGAGGGGGTCACACAGCTTTCTCTTTCTTTACTTAAACATTCAAAACGGTAAGACTGCAGATGAGTCTCTGCAGTTTTCTCGTAAACTGTTAAAGCAGCAGACAGAAATGTGCATGAGCACAGCAGGAGGGCGCGTCAGGAAGTCCGCTCTCTGAGGAGGACGTTCAGTTAATCGGGACAGAGAGGAGCTCAAAGTGAACCCGTCACACTATATATTATTCTTGGACTCTACTAGAGGTGCTTTGAATGAGTCGCAGCTCAAAATGATCCTCGTTTATCTTCTGACGGTTCTTTGTGCAGCTCCTCAACTCATCTTCTAGCCCCTCCCACTTAAAGCAAACCACCTTCTGATTGGCTGCCCCTCGTAAGCAGAGTGTTTGTGCAACATGCTCGGATGTTTGCAACATGTCTGTCATAACTAGACCCGCCCAAAAGCATAATCTGATTCTTGGACTCTAATGTGGATCATAATTCATAAAGATTACATCATTTTGAATTTAATCAGACTTGAAACTGGAGATTGAGACCATAAAACCATCAGAAAGGTCACAGATCAGGAGATTCGAGACCTGTTTTCTCGTCAGTCTTAAGATCCACTGTGGAGTTTGTGGTGCCATGAAGTGTCCAGAGTCTGGAGCAGGGGTGAGGAAAGGTTTTGGGAGATGTGGATAAGTAGGGAATGAGTTTATTGATCTCTGGTCCCGATGAACACTGGCAGAATAAGACTATATTGTTCTGACAATGAGATGACGGCTAAACGACAGAGGCTGTGGAAAGATCCGATTTAGCAGAGAGGGGAACGCCCTCATCCAGCTGAGGAGGAAGGTGAAATAAACGTAATGTATGCAGTTCTTTCAGCTTTTGTCGTCACGCTATCTTTGCACGTGTGTGGTGAACGTTGGCACACTGCAGGGAGTCATGGACGGCCCGTTTATTTGCAGGCAAAAACCTAATCAGATGTTTTTTAAAACAAGCTTTAGTGTTTGCATGTAGATTGTGACAAACAGGTTCTTGTTTTTTGTGTTTTTAAAAAGATAAAGGTATGTTTTCATGAATAATTGGGGCCAGCTGTGGGCCAGAGGCCTCACCGAAGGAAGAGACACAGCACTGCTCTGTGGGATCATGTTTTTATCTTTGTTCTTGGACAAAATAAGAGAAAAAGATGATTTTAGTGTTTTGTCCATGGACACACCAGTTTGACAGATGTACCAACCCAGTAACTGTGATCAGCTCAGATTGGGAGCTAAATACAAACGGATGATTTTCCAGCTGTTTATGTAACAAAATGTGTCGTTCATACATTTAAGAAACAAATGAAAGAAAACAATAAGACAATAACATGAAGCTCTTCTGTTATTGTTGAGTTTCCTGCTAAAATGGTTTATTTATAGTTAAGGTCACATTATTTAGAAGTGCATATAAACAGTGAGTCAGCAAAGAAACACGAATTCATGCGTCTCAACACGAAGGGAACAAAACAGTTTCAGCCCTAATAGATGTCAAAGCATCCGAATTCACAGCAGCCCCAACATACAAGTTCTGCCTGTTTCCAGGTTTGTTTGTTTCTTAGCTAAACGTCACTTAACGACCACCAGCTGTCAAAAAGTGAAATTATTCCTCAGCTAACACATCTGTAAATATAATTTGTACATGTGAGAAATCTTTGGTGATATACGACCAGCTATAGATCGCTGCGCCTCTGCACAGCAGCAACACAAACACGGCCACAAATGCACACATGCACGCCTGCGGTTCGTCCTAACGACTGTAATCAAAGCGATCTGTGCGTCTGCTGTCCTGTCTGCAGCTCGGGCCGACACCAGGCTCACGCTGCGCATGCTGGGAGAGTCGTGTGAGCGTCCGGGCTTCAGGCCTCGCGCTGAAGCCGAGACGCTTCCCCTCGCCTGGAAGAGGAAGTAAACAAACTGGGGCAGCTGTCCCAAAAAACAGCCACGCGGCATCACCTCGATTCCCCTAAATGGAAGATTGTTTTTGCACAGTTTACGACAAGAGACGCATCCTGCGTCAGCAACAGCATCCTGCTTAGACGTACGGCTGTTAAAGGAATTAAAGTCCTCCTCAGACACCTAAATGTTTGGTTTGGTGTCGTTTGTGTTCTTCAGGAGGCCAAAGGCTCACGACATCATGTCAGGATCAGATATGAATGAATGATTACATAATGGGAGACTGTTATGATTACACAGGATCAGTTAAAATCCGACTTATTTATTCCAAAAGTTGGGAAATTCCTGCGTTTAAAAAAATAAAGTTACAGCTTAGTAGAGTAGCGTTTGATAAATAGAATAGGAGGAAATAAAATAACATACTTATTTTTATTTTAATCCCCCCAAGGAAAGTTGAGAAGTAGAACAGCTCATTATGACAAAATAACTCTAATGAGGTAAAAATTACACAAAAGAATTAAATAGAAAAATAAAGTAAAATTAAATACATGATCGGTCAGTAAAAATCTAAATAAAAAACAATCGAACACCATGTAAAGGCTGAATATAGAACTATAAAGTAAAATAGGTCAAAAAGTGCAATAAAGCCAAATAAACAGTTTCTAAATGTAATCAAAATAAGCGCAGTACAACAGAGTGTAGAGAGTAGATGAGAAAACAAGACAATAAATCAGCTCTATAAGATAAACATTTGATGAAATAGAAGAATAAAAACTTCTTGCAGTGTTGTTTCAGTGTCGTCTGATTTGGTGTTATGAGCAGCTGAAGTCTGGATGCTTTCAAAAATAGTCCTCTGAATAGTTTAAAGTTGGGGTCACATGACAGGTGGTTGTTATTAGTACACCTGGTTTGAGCCTGGATTAGGACTGCTGCTGTTTAAAAGTGTCTTTATTTTCTAACGGAGGATATTTAGGCAGTAATTTTAAAGAGTAACACTTGACAAAATGAACCGTCGGTGTTGTTTCTGATCGCTTTTATATTATTCTAGTTAATTACAGTAACTTTTCACACGGATGAAGCTCCAGCTGGTTTCGCACGAGGTGTGGGACGGGCTTCAGACTCACGTTAGACTTGTTTAATCCAGGTTTGGTTTTAGGGTTTTGTATATCTGATATATTTTCCTGTTCCCCTTTCGTCACGGCCGACTAACTTGCACGATGTTGAGATCAGAGCTCTGCGTTTAGCCGAGATTTGTTCAACTGTTTGCTAACAACAGGGATTAAAAACCAGCAGACGTTTCATTTTACGGCTCTGACCTGATGATGGCGCCTTAATAAGAGAGTCACAATCATCCTGAGTGGAAACGTGAACATCTTCTCTGCGTTTCATCTTCATCTTTGCCGTAGTTGTCCTAATATTACGTCCTGAACAGCAGCACTGAAGCTCACGGTGACGTCACAACATGAACATTATAAACCTTGTTGCTGTCAAACTGCTCGTCTTCTAGACATAAACAGACTGAAACTGTTGATACTGAGGTCCAAACACATAAGTCGCAGCAGTGTTCGCAGCATGGGGCCGGGGTGTGTTTGTTTCTGTGACCCACGCCTCCCGGTCAGACGGAGTCTGATCTGATGACTCACAGCTGTCGTCTCTCCTCAGGACCAACGAGCAGCTGGTGGCTTTCCTGTCCAAATACCGCAGCATGAACTTCATCAAATCTCACGGCAGAGACAACGCACGGTAAGGCTGTGTGCCCCACGGGCCTTTATTAAAACAGTGCAATGAAGTGAAAAACAAGCTGCACAATAACTCAGCGTTACGTTGGGCTGCGGGCCGAGCTGCTGGACCTGAATCGTGGATTCATGGAACAACGATTTGAAGCTCTCGGCGTTTGTGAGCGTAAAGCGGGGAGATACTTGGAAATGCTCCTGCGCTTCGAGAAAATGATCCCAAAATTATATCCAACTTAACCAAAGCTCGGTTCCTGGAAAGCCCTCGAGGGGCCGGCGCCGTTCCACCGAAACATCTTTGGCTGGATTCACAGAAAGGAAATCTGTGGAAACACTGCCTGTGTGTGTCGCAGTGTCAGATGCTGATATGAAAGATCATATTAAAACAGACATAAATACAACATGTGGGCTAAACACCACTCTGTTAGGGTTAGCACTGCTGCTGCCCCTCATCCTCCAGCCTTTGAATCACAGAATAGCTGATGGGAGCTGAAACGGGATTTCAGACAGAGAATAGACTGATCAATAAATCAATAATAGATCAATAAAAACTGGTCTACTCTGCATTAAGTAAAACAAATAACATTAAAGGTTAAAAGGTGTCATTATTAGGGCTTTTATTCTGTAAGTCTATTACAGCACGCTTCAGGCTGAATAATCGTAAGCGTCCTCTCAGTTTCATCCGTAAACAGGGCCTGGACCGCCTCTTCTACGAGTGCGACACCCACATGTGGCGTCTTGGAGATCGAAAGATCCCCGAGGGCATTTCTGTGGATGGAGGCTCTGATTGGTTCCTGCTCAACAGGCGCTTTGTGGATTATGTGGTCAACTCCAGGGACGAGCTGGTCAGCAGCATGAAGCGTTTCTACGCCTACACGCTGCTGCCCGCCGAGGTAACGCACACACATGTACAGAACTGTTCAGACACGCCACGCCGATGCAGAGTCTGTCATTTTAACAAGAACACATAAAGTGTTCCAGCAGAAACGATCCCGGGACATCCTCCAAGTCTGTTCTCTTAAAATGAGGCAATATTTCACTTTTATTTCACTTTAGGAATATTTGAAAAACCTGAAACACTTCTAATTTTTCACTTTATCATCAAATTTTTTTATACATTTGATAAGTCAAAAAGCAAAACGAGATTTTGGGTTTTTTTCTGCATTAAATGCATAAAACAGCCAAACGATGACTGATACACGTTCCTCTCCCTCCTCCAGTCCTTCTTCCACACCGTGCTGGAGAACAGCGCCCACTGCGAGACCATGGTGGACAACAACCTGAGGCTCACCAACTGGAACCGCAAACTGGGATGCAAGTGCCAGTACAAGCACATCGTGGACTGGTGCGGCTGCTCGCCCAACGACTTCAAGCCCTCAGATCTGCCGCGCTTCCAGGTAGGACGCCACACT